ATTCCAGATGGATGTTAAAAGTGCCTTTTTGAATGGTTTCATTGAAGAGGAAGTATACGTGAAACAACCTCCTGGGTTTGTAGATTCAAAGTTTCCCTATCATGTGTATAAGCTAACCAAAGCACCGTACGGACTGAAACAAGCTCCACGGGCATGGTACGAAAGACTCAGTTTATTTCTTATTGATCATGGATTTACAAGAGGTAAAGTAGACACTACTCTGTTTATTAAAAGATCATCAGAAGGTAATCTCATTATTCAAATTTATGTTGATGATATTATCTTTGGTAGTGCTAATCCTCTTATGTGCAAGGAATTTTCAAATCTTATGCAAAGTGAGTTCGAAATGAGTATGATGGGAGAACTAACTTTCTTCCTTGGACTTCAAATCCAACAATCTAAAGAAGGAACGATCATATGTAAGACCAAATATACAAAGGAATTGATCCAAAAATTCGATATGAGCAATGCTAAAGCTATTGGCACACTAATGAGTCCTTCAACAAGTCTCGACAAAGACGAACAAGGAAGTCCTGTTGATGAAACTAAGTATCGTGGAATGATTGACTCACTTCTTTATCTAACTGCTAGTTGACCGGATATTATGTTTGGTGTCTGTAAATGTGCCAGGTTTCAGTCAGCTCCTAAGAATCACATCTGACTGCAGTAAAAAGAATTATTCGATATCTTATTGGAACTGTCTCTCATAGATTATGGTATCCTCGTTCTAACACGTTTGAATTAGAAGGTTTTTCATATGCTGATCTTGCAGGTGATAAGTAAGATAGAAAAATCACACGTGGAACATGTCAATTACTTGGAAAAGCATTGATATCTTGGAACAGTAAAAAACAAGGATCAGTTGCATTATCCACGACTGAGGATGAATACATTGCTATTGGACAATGTTGTGCACAATTACTATGGATGTCTCATCAACTTGGTGACTATGATTTATCTTTTAAGCCTATACCAATTTTTTGCGATAATTCTAGTGCTATATGCCTCTCTGAAAAATCCTGTGCATCATTCTAGGGCAAAGCATATAGATATCAAGCATCATTTTATTAGAGATCATGTTCTTAAAGGAAACATAGAACTATCTTTTGTTGGAAATACTGATCAATTAGCGGATATTTTTACTAAGCCTTTATTAGAAGAAAGATTTTGCTATCTAAGAGAATTACTTGGCATTATTTTCATTAATCGTTAATATTAGGACCTATGTGCTATTAGTTTTTGTTCTGTATGCCTAATGTTTTATTTCCTTTCTTAATCATTAATTGCGCCTCCTATTTCCCTCTCTTTTCCTCTCTTTTCACATCAGTTTCAGCATTCAAAGAAGGAAAACCAATTATCACATCTGATCAACTAACACTCTTTCCTTTTCCGTACTCAACCATCAGAAACCCTCTTTTCTAATGCTGAAACTTCTTTTAAATCTCCATCGTCTCCATCGCCTAGAAACCCTTCTCAGAAGCTTTCCCCAACTAGAAACTCTTCAATGGCCATACACCCTAAAAATCCCTCTGCCTTCACCAGGAAGAGCACTCGCTCCAGAGCAAAACCCCCTTCTCAGCCCCCAGAACAAGTAGACCTAGGGTATGATCATTCTGAAGGTTTTGCCTCTTCTCAGGCTGATTTGTCTGATCACTCTCATACCTTAGGAGAAAAAGCTTTGGGAAAATGACCTATGAAAGAACCCCCTATTTCCTTTACTCCAAATAAGTCAAAATAGATCTTTCCAGTTCCCTAGAGTCAGACCTAAATTTCTGGGATTCTCCAAATAGGGACTTTTTCATCGCCTTGAAAGACAAGCCTATTGCTCGTGGGAGGGTTGTCGACCTTGATGACATGGAAGCCCTAAATTGTAAGGTAAAAGATCTTTTCGTTTATCAAGGGTGGTCAAAGTTCTTTTCCGTTCCTCCGCCTAAGGTCTATGAGCCCCTAGTGAGAATGTTTTATGCAAATTTTCGCTCTAGTAAGTCTGATAAGTTGGAGTCCTTAGTGTTAGGAAAGCGTATTGTCCTTGATTGTGCCATGTTTGATTCAATCTTTCAGTGTAAGTGTTCTGATTTTCCCATGCTTTTCAAAAATTCCTGGCTCGATGATTTTGAAATTTCCTTTGATCAAGCTAAAAGGTGTATTGCTGAGTGTCCATCTGAGTCTCTCCCAAACCAGTTAGGACCTAGTGATGTTAGTTTCAAAACTCATGTTCTGGCCCACATTGTTGCAACCACTCTGCTTCCTCGTACTGGCTCTTTCTCAACCTTCTCTCAAAGAGACACCTTTCTGGTCTATTGCCTTGTGACAAAATTCAAGATCAAGCTGTCCTCCTGGGTCATCAACTTTATGATTGAAAGTGCTAATGATCCCACTAGTCTACCCTATGGCATAGCCATCACTCACATTCTGGAAGCTCATAATATTTCCATCTCTGAATATCCCTTTATCTCTGTTTCAAAATATTACAATTCCAGAGCTTTTGCGAGTATGGGGTATATGTGTGTGAAAGACTCATTGGTTAAGAAACAAGAAGGAGAAGTCAAGCATGCTCAAACCGATTCTTAATTCAAACCTTCAGCTTCCCATCCTAGCCACAGTGATCCTGACCTTGCTGAAAAGCTTAGTGCCATTGACAATCAGCTATCTACAATGAAAGATCTTCTCACTGCCACTCATTCCACTGTTGATAACATTCATGCTATCTCCATAGAAACAGGGTCTATTGTTTCCAAGATAAGAGTTACAGTTCTCAGAGTAAGGGAAAACACATTCAAGGAGGTTCATGACAGGCTTGATTGAATGAGTGTTTCAGCCAATGCCAGCTTTGATCGACTGAAGGAGGCGATTTGCAATACTCTTACCTATTTTCTGCGCCGTTAATATGGAAGTTTAACACAATTTTTTTGCTGTGCTGTTTTTGGACTGGATAATCAATCGGTGGATGATTTTTTTTTGTTTTGCTATAACTTTGCAAGAATATCATGCTATAAATCCTGTTTTAGTATGAAGTCTGTTTTACTATTCCCTCTTTGGTGATGTCAAAAAGGGGGAGAAAGGATATATGTATTTGTACAGGTACATACAAGGATAAGTCGAGGATAAGTCGACTGAAGGGAAAGTGCAGGTAGCAGCTCACGGCACCTCTTGAGGGGGAGTCATAGATCCTGCAGAAGAAGTCAACTACAAGAGTTGTTGCCAGAGAAAGTCAACTGCTCTCATTAGGGGGAGTAAAATACAGGGAAGCCAATTGATGTTTATACATACATACATACATACATACATACATATATATATACATACATACATACATACATACATACACACACACACACACACACACACACACACATATATATATATATATATATATATATATATATATATATATATATATATATATATATATATATATAATTTTGTCATCATCAAAAAGAAGGAGACTGTTAGATATGATTTTAATGATGAAAATAATATATTTATTCTTTGTATATGAGCTCATGGAAAGCATTCAAGATTGAAGGAATCAATCAGAGAAGATCAAGGAAAGCATCCAAGATTGAAGGAATCAATGATAGTGTTCAATACTGACGGAATCAATTAAGGTTAGACTGAAGGAATCAATCAATCAAGAGTATCGAAGATCTTGCAAGATAATCAATCACGTATGCTAAATCTGGAAGGACCAAGATTCAAGGAAGGATATCCGGTGCTATCAAGTCATGTATAAGGGAAGTCATTAAAGCCCTCTCGCCAAGACAAAGCCGTTGCCGAATAACCTTATTCTTGGAAAGAATCAATCTCTTTCTGAGGATCAAATCTCTCGGATTGGCAAATCTCTTCAGAAATCAAGCCTCTCTCAAAGTATTTAATCTCGTCTCTGTACCTTAGCACATATACTTTGATCGAACCAAATACCCTCTTTGTTCTACTGCAAACAAATATTGTAGTTCTACTAGATCTGCTGTGTAACAAGTTAGAGAATGGTGAGGCATTGTATCAAAGAGAAACGAGTGATATAGGAATTGAGCTATCGGTGTAGATCACACCATTCACTGTGTACTCGAGAAACTCATTCACTGAAAGAGAACTCCCTTGCAATCCAAGGGGACTGGACTAGAATTCACATTGAATCCAAACCAGTATAAAAATTCCAGTGTCTTTAATTCCTGCATTTAATTTCTGCATCTTAAATTCTGTCCTTACTGTTATCAAGTTATTACATCTAGTCAACTAATTTGAAAACTAGTCAATTGATAGCGATTAATATTTAAAAATAAATAATTCACCCCCCCCCCCCCCCACTTGTTCTTTCAAGAAATCTTATTTGCGTTCCTCGCTGCCGTTTTTATTGTTAGAATTCTGCAATAACAAATGAATTTTTTGGTGAACGTGTTATTTCAGCAAACATGAAATAAAAGAATTACTGTCAAATTGGTGAGAGTGGCATCAAAATCAACTCTTTAGTTTCAAAATAAAATCTTGAAATGAGTTCAATGTTTAGACCATGGGTTATGTCGTCAGCATCGGCGCCGGAAGTTCAAGCAATGTTTAGACTGATGTTTATTTTAATTTATTTTTGTATATTAAGATAACATAAACAGAAAATGAATTTGAAATATCCCGGTGATATCTTGACCTTTAAAATTTTTAGTGACACATGGTAGCATCCTACAGTACAATTGAGAAATACTTGAGGAAAAAATACTGGAGGGGATTCCTTCCTGTTTTCTTCAATGCATGCACGTCCTTTAATACGAAAAGTCATATCTTAACAATTAAAGTTGAGAAAAATGGTTATTCTCGCTCGGTGTTGATACCAAATCAAACAATTTAATCTTAAAACTTAAATATTAAAGTGAAGAAATTCGCTGATCATTTAACCATTGAGAATATATTAAATTCATGTCTTGCAATTATTGTTTTGGTATAACACCAAATGCCAATAAGTTCTTTCCTTGTTGAGTACGTGCCATCCTAGATGTAACATTTGATTCTTAATTGTCCTCAAATATTCCATATGGGCTGGAAATTTCCATAGCAGAATTATTTCCATGTGAAATATTCTGTTGATGGAAAGGATTTATAGCACTGGCCTGCATACTTTGTTGATTTATAGCTGCTTCCAATCTTTGTTGCTCGTGCAAACTTGGTGGCCTTGAGGATCCTCCAACTCCTAAGAAATCAACTGTCAACAAGTCATTATTTCCATTGTGTCCTAACACTGTACGTTGGTTCCTGACACTAGAGCTATCATTTGTATTGTTATTCTCTTGATCATGTTCAGTATTAATGTTTTGATGATCATTGCTCATTAGTATCCCACTGTACATTCCCATGTCATTCATAACTGCTGCTAAATTTGGCTGATGATTGTTAGTATTATTATCTGGTTGTGTTTGGAAATTCTCATAGAGTGAGGGGCTAACATAAGGACCAGCCATTGCACTTGTCACGAAGCTTTTTTGCATCATAGGGGAATTAATACTATTACCAGCAGTTGCCCCCATTTGGGCCGCTTTTTGCAAAAGCGCAGTTGCTGACATTGGAGCTTGGCCCTGGCCTGGCCCATTTTTACTACTGTCTTGGAGATAGTTGAAATTTGATGGGATGTTGGAGCTAAGTTGAAGTCCTGAAGATGATGACGCTACACTTCTTGGGCTACCAAAAAGGTTACCTGTGTTGAAGACATTATATTGTTAAATAAATAAATAGTAAATCTTGTCGGTTATTTGTCTATAATCAGTATATAATTTATGTATACAAGCTAAGAAAAACAAAAGAATAGTGAAGAATTAACCTAATAGCCGTCTGCGCAACCATTTAAACTAAAAATAACTGTCGTTAGTGTCGTATGTATAATATGTGTATAATCATGTATAATCAATGTGCATCTATGTAAATAGTGAATTCGGCTGGCTACTTGTGTAAAGATTCCATAGATAAAAATACATTTTTTTCCTAAACTTTTAAATGAGATAGTCATATATACGATTTAACTACCTGACGTGGTCGAGAACATGCCACCTGCAGCCATATTATTGTTCATGGACTTGAATGGAATGGAAAAAAGTTCCTGAGGGAGTGATTTTAGTGGGGTTTTGAGATCAAAGTTGTTGCAGTCGGATAACCCCAAGGAGGCATTTGATGACATGAGGCCATGCATTTGGCCACTTTGCAAATTGGGTTCCATATTATTGTTCATTATTAGACCTTGGTTCACTTTGTTGTTTTCTTCAGCCAATGCATCACAGAAAGCTCTATGTGTGATAAAGCTGTCCCTCCTGCACATCAATGAACCTCCGTATATCACTAATTATCAATTTTATTATACAAAAAGTTATCTGTAATAAATACAGTACCTTAAAGTAATAACTTGATTTTCGATACTTTTTATACCGTCCATAATAGAACTTAAATTCTTTCAAAAGTATTTTTCAAAATCTAAAGATCATTAATGGATTCTGTATATATAGGAATACATACACCATATTTTATTTGAACAAAAACCGTGTAGCTAGCTAGGTAGTAGGTAATTTTAATTAGAAGAGAACATTGGACGTGACAGTCACTTATATTGGGTAAACTAACAAAGGGAAGAATTTGATTTAATCACAGAATTGAATCGGGTCTCATCCCTTTGATTCAGTCTTGGATTAACGTGAAATGCAGTCCATTTTATTTCACAAGTATGTATGTGAATTTATTTTCTTCTCTAGAAGAAAGGACTGAAAATATTATGAGAACACAAACTAATAACCTGGAGAAAATGGTACCGCAGTCACATTTGTATTCTCTTGTCCCACAAGTCTTCTGATGAGCCTTCCAGTCAGATTGCACGGCATATTTTTTGGAACATTTATCACATTTCCATTTCTTTTCTCCATGTTTACGGCTATAATGTTTTTTAATTCCAGTAAGATCACCCAAAGCACGAGCCGGATTGTGGTGCACGCAAGTTGGCTCTGGACATATGTAAACGCGCTTCCTCACTTCAGTTGTACTTCTTTGCCTAAGCTTCCAAGGGAGATTATGTCCCCTCCTATGCAACTGCAAGTTTTGGTCCCTCTGAAATCCCTTGTTGCAAATCTCACACACGAATCTGTTCGTCGCCATGAGAGTTGTTGGTGATAGGGCGATGACTTCTGCATTTGGATCTACAAGAATTTCAAGAAGAGTAATTGACAATTAGACACGTGGTGATTATAGAATATATCCTTGAACAAGAAGTACTGGATTCTAAAAATTCTGAACACCTAACCAGTTCAGATATTCATGACCAAATGGTAGTGAATTTTAGAATTCTTGAACAACAAACAAACAATTCAGATATTCACAATCAAGAAGTACTGAAGTCTAGGAAGAGCAAATTTCTTTAATGATTAGAAGTGTACGTACTACTCATATATATATATATAACATTCTAAGTGGTGTGTGGGTCACCAAAAAAGAAAAAATGGAAAAAGTGCATTTCATCTTAGTTCCAATTAAGCAATTATTGACCCTTTTTGCAAGATGAGGATTTGTCCATTTAAAACAAGCTTAGAGTCAAAGGTTTCCCCATCATGCATGGCACAGAAAAATTTGCTAAATTGCTCATTGTAGTAATACATGTTACTACGTTTCTACTTATACGTTCACATTAGATCAAAGAAAACAAATTAAGGATACAATTCAACATGCAGTTTCAATATTCTTAACATAACTAGCTTAATTTCAAGAATCGAAACATTATTTGTTAAATATAATCTATGGAGAAAAACTCGTTTGACTCTCGAAATTCGAAATACGTCACATAAGTTGGGACAGATAGCGTTGTTTTACCCGGAGTTCCAGGAAGGTTTCTCTTCTTCTTAGCAAGAGGCTGCTGCTTATTCTGCTGTTGCTGGGATTGTGAACTGGACCCATTACTAGTAGTAGTAATAGAGGAAATATTATTTGAAGTCTTCAAATGGGCTGCTTGATTATGTTTCTGAACTTGCTGATCTCCACTGTTCCCTGAAGAGAAACTGCCTTCTTCTCCTGATATATTTGACATCTAGAAACTCCACTATAATATATTTCAAGAATTTTTGTTTATTTTAGCTTTAATTTGTTGTTTCCCACTTTTTTGTTTAGTTGTTGGTGCAAAAGGGGTTGAAGGAGATTTGTTTCTTTGGGAGAATAACTTAAATCTTGGAATATAATGTGGTATGATCGAGTAGAGGAAGACAAAAACCAGGGAACTCTCTCCTATATTTCTGCTTGTCTTCTTGGCTTATACTACTATATATAGTGTGGATATAAAGACAATTGATGTGGAAAGGCCCCTAATTAACTTTCTATAATTTGCTTTTTTACTATAATTCATTAGCCTGCTTTCATATTTATCCCTCCATCTAATGGCTCCCTCCCCCTCTTTCCCACGGATATATACGTACACTAATTAATAGTATAAATATATTTTTACATAATCAGTATTGGATAATTTGTGATAGCATGTCGTCATTATTTAATTTCTACGAGTATTACAGATTTTACTTGCAATGATCTTGTAACTGAACTGATTGTGTGAATAGTTTGTACTTAGTCAATGTATAAAATTTAAACTCAAACAAGCTCAAAAGAGAAAAGAGAAATCTAAGGGAAAGAATAAATAAAAATTGACTACAATACACCCAGGAAGGAAAACTTAAGAAAATGAAAAAAACTGAAAAATGCGTTCATTTCCAAAGGGTGTCTGTGTGTGTATTTTTTCTTCTTCTTATATTTGTATAAAAAAATTGGCAGTATACTAGTGATACTCAGTTCTACGTCACGCCTTGTTTTGATTGAATTTTCACTTATGATTAACGTAGCATCATAATTCAAAAAGGAGTGTTCTAATTGTTGGTGCAAATTAAAAGAGAAATAAAAAAGAAAAACTTGATTATCACAAACCTAGGGAGAATAAATCTAAGAGGAAAAAAAGGGTAAGAAGAAAGCACCAAATTTAGTACATAAAAGTAAAACAAAACTTTGAATCAGTTCCTAGTGTGAAAGACAAACTACAACAAATATTCAAAAGAAATAATTTTAGTAGTGGCCAGTGCTTACTTGATGTGATGCAGCAAATAATGTGACAAATATCACAATGACTATTATTTTGCTAATTCTCTCTAGTATATAGTATATTCCTTTTTTCTACTTCTGAATTTCCGTGCAAGGGCACATTATAAGAGTTGAAATAAATAGGACAAAGAGTTAGTTAAATATATCTCCCTACATGTAACCCCTAAACTTAGCTAGCGTTTGGTTATAGATTCTCAAATTTATTTTAAAAAATTTGATTTGGGTGAAGTTTTGTTTGAAGATGAAAATCTATCCGGACATAATTTTTCAAAACATATTTAACTTTTTTTTGAAAAAATCTAAAATGTGACTTATACCAATAAGTTCTAAAAACTATCAAAAATACCCAACAATACCAAACAAACAAACTAGCTAATCTTGTATATGCAGAACCTTCATTGATACCAATCATTATCATTATCACAAACCATAGTCCCGGACATAGATAAGTTTGGCACAAAAATATCATTTTTATAATGAGCTACATAATACACTATCCTAAAACCATAACCTGATATTTTAATAGCAACAGCTAATAACATAATTACTAGCCACAATAATTCGTCAAATTACAATAATATTACAAGATCCATCAGTCCAAAAGAAAATGCTAGTAATTAGCTGGTGGTTAGTTATGTCATAATAATTGGTGGACTTTTTTATAAAATATAAAGTTTGGGATAACTTTTGAAGTTGTTAAGAATCCAACGGTGACATTTTGGGCCCAAAACATGTCTATTTTTAGTTTTGGGATTTGTGAATTTTGTTTTCAAAATCTGCCAAAACATAGGTAAAATCTATAAGCAAACATGTTGTGCCAATTTTTTTTTTTTTGAATAAACCTTGGCAAAATCTATGGCCAAACTGGGCTTAACATTTCCGACTTTTCCCCCCAAACAGGAAAGAAAGTGGAGTATATATTAAACCATTATGGGTAGTCAATAATTCCCTCTTTGCTTTTTTTTTTCTTCCAGAAATAAAACAATCAATCAACTACAATAATTTTAATTGGATTATATATATATATAAAATTTTGTATCCTACCATAGTTTTACCTATTACACCAAGGTATTTATTTGTTAAAAAGTTTTATCAATAATTACCTAATTTTTACGGTTTTAAAGTAGGTAAATGGCGAATCCCATTCCAGTGACGAAGACCTAGTTACAGGTTTCTTTGGTGGCATCATAAAAATGTGAAGTAGCTATAAGAAACGAATATGATACCACAAAAACATAACCATGGCATATACTAATAATCAATTTACCACAGAGAAATATTATAAGATCAATGTTCGAAAAGATAAATTTCCATGACTGTCTACAACAACAATAACAACAACAATAACCCACTATAATACCACTTAATGGGGTCTGGGGGTGTGGGGAGGGTAGTGTGTACGCAGACCTTACCCCTACCTTGGGGTAGGGAGGCTGTTTCCAAATAGACCAACTTAGGCTGTTTCCAAATAGACCCTCGGCATCCTTCCCTCTAAGAATTTCCCACCTTGCTTTTGGGGAGACTTGAACTCACAACCACTCGGTTGGAAGTGAAGGTTGCTTACCATCGGAGCAATCCCTCTTGTCCTATGACTATCTATAACCAATCATAAAATTTGGCAGTTGTACTTTTGTTATTTACTTCCGAGCTTTCTTCTTTGTCATAGCTAGGGGTGTCAACGGTTCGGTTTTTCCAGTTATTTTATAAATTTATACTATACTAATTTTTCGGTTATTCGATTATGTATAATTTAAATCAGACTATTCGAAACCGTCTGAATTATATCGGTTTCTCTTCGGTATCATTACGATTCGATTAATTTTCGGTATTTTTTAAATATCATGTAAAAGTCACTAGTAGAATTAGAATGCAATAACATAAATAATTTTATAGGACTTAGCAACACATGAACAGAATATAGATCCATTAACTATTCTACAGTAGCATAAAAGAAACTAAGCAAAAACAAAGAAATTATATATCACACGAGTAGAAAGATACTAACCAAGCTGGGACTAAAGAATAAAGTCTATAGAAGATTAAATATTCAAAAAGATAAATCCAAATCATACGAAAGGAAACGTGTTCAATACATTGTAGTTTGCTATTCATAATCGCTAGAATACCATGTGTCTTGCTAGTGAAAATGCTGAAAATAATTTAATTTTAATAGGAGTATCATAATAGGTTTGAGAATTAGGATTTGAGTTTAATTGCTTGTTGACTTGCAACAGTTTTCATATTTCCAAGGCCCAAGGAAAAATTTAATGCTTTATTATTATTAAACTTAATATATAAATATATTTTTCACATGTAAATTTATTCGGTATGAGTCGGTATTTTTTCGATTTATTTTCCTAAAATTAAAAACTTAACCTAATTATTGGTACGGTTATAAATTTATAAAAAACACCTACAGTTCTATTTGAAAAAACTAAAATCAGTTCAGATGGTACGGTTCAGTTGATTTAGTCAGTTTTTAAATATCCATTGACAACCCTAGATAGCCCTATCAGTTCAGATGGTACGATTCAGTTGATTTAGTCGGTTTTTAAATATCCATTGATAACCCTAGATAGCCCTATTATATCTCATATAACATAAACCAAGAATTCTACTTAGGTTTAAAGAAGCATAGCCCGGTGCATTAAGCTCTCACTATGCGTGGGGTTTGGGTAGGGCTGGACCACAAGGGTCTATTATACACAATCTTACCATGCATTTTAACAAGTGGCTGTTTCAACGGTTCGAATCCGTGACCTCTTGATCAGAACCAAGTGAAATATCAGTGCTACTTTAATTTAGAGGGTACACAAATCTTTTTGTAGATTTCCACAGGTTTACTAAATAAGAAACAATTGTAGTTCGGCTGAGAAATGAAAGCAACTAAAGGACAGAAATTAGGATTAGAAGCATGTTCTAACTTGTAAATTTCTAGTCAAGACAATTCTAATGAAATATTAATCTTTATTTAGTTATCCCCCAAACCCAATGTTCCCCGGGGGCGAAGCTACACTCTGGTAACAGTGATCCACTGATCATATTCGTCGGAAAATTACACTGCGTATATAAGTAAAATATTAGATTTTAAAGGTATATAACATATATTGTATCACGATCCAAATTCCATACTAGGCCGTGATGGCGGCCAACACTGTTGTTAGACAAGCCAATACTAATCAAATAGTATATCCTCACTTATGTAGTTAGTATGTGATAACTTCTATTATAGGTTTACGAAATTTATAGTTTTAAAAATTAAGCATATTTAAATGAAAGAAATAAATGCAAAGCTCAATAATGAGGACAAGCCAAAACATCATAATTCTACTACGTGTGTGCCAAGACCTGGTTTCACAAGTGTGTGGGCAATCTAGTAGAATATACAAAACCATACTATCCTACTGTCTGGAAAAGAAATAGACAGGAATATAAAGACAAAAGAGAGACTCCAGCTACTGTAGATCGGCTCAAAAGGGCAGCTCACCGAAAAGTCTCGAGCTGAGATGACCACTCTATGCGCCGGACTGATGGCCAGATGCACCTGCCTCAAAGCCTGTACAATCAAGTACAGAAGTGTAGCATGAGTACATAAAAATATGTACCTAGTAAGTATCTCGCCTAACCCTATAGAAGTAATGACGAGGGGTCGACTCCGACACTTACTAGGGCCAGCAAATATAATAATATGAAGTTCGATATATTTAATTCACATTGTATGTAGATGACAACAAGCTCAAACAAGAATAACTATTGAAAATCCTTTCACCCAATAAATAAAACTAAGCACTTTCCTCATTTAAAATAAGTGACCTTTCCAGCAACAAGTCATACGAAATATAAGGGTTCCGGTTCTATTATCACACACAAATACCACCGAGGACGTTCGGCCCGATCCAACATAAAAGTAAAATGTACACTGCCGAGGGTCGAACGACACGAACCACA